CCTGAAAATTGTCAGCCTTTTTTTTTATAGCGCAAAAAATAAAAACAGCACAGGTGATCAAATACCACCAAAAGAAAGCTCAATTTGTGGGGAAAAAAAGGATGTAAATTTCATTTATGTACCATTTTGCATGACCGCGCAATTGTCCGTTAAACTAGTGCAGCGCTGTATAGCAAAAAAATGGCGTAAATTACAGTATCTATACCATAGTTTGTAGACGCTATAACGTTCACACAAAGCAATCAATATACTCTTATTGGGATTTTTTTTACCAAAAACATGTAGCAGAATACATTTTGGCCTAAATTTATAACTAAGTTTGAGTTTACTATATATTTTTTTATAGCTGAAATGAAAAAAATATTGTTTTTCTTCAAAATTTTTGGCCTTTTTTTGTTTATAGCGTGAAAAATAAAAAGTGCACAGGTGATCAAATACCACCGAAAGAAAGCTCTATTTGTGTGAAAAAAAGAACGTAAATTTCGTTTGGGTGCAGCATTGCATGACCGCGCAATTATCAGTTGAATTAGTGCAGTGCCGAGTAGCAAAAAGAGGCCTGGTCATTAAGGGGGGTAAATCCTCTGGAGGTCAAGTGGCCTTCAGTTATACTTTGATATTAATGCTATATTTTTCAATTGTGCATTATATAGTTGATTTCAGAGTCCTGACCTGCTTTACACAGTGCTCTGTGATTTATGGAGTTATTTTATAATTATATTGTGGGTTTCTGTTGGTTTTAATCTCTCAGCTAATAACAAAATTACACAAACATTTGTGACCTTTGTTAATAAGCAGATTATATTTTTCCATGCTATGTTATTGCAATTAAATTAATATGGTAATCTTTTTTTGTATTTTTAATATTTTACGTTATGGGAGAGTTCAGTCTAATTAACATCCTGTTAGGTTTGGTTAATGACAATAATTCTATAACCCTTCTGCACCTTATCACCGTTACTTGAATTGCATTTAATGACATTAATAGTCTGTGAGGCCATCTATGTTCGTGGTTTCTATGCCCATAATTATTATATTTTATTGAGAGGTGATGCCCTGTGAAAATAAGGTATTTGTGTCACATACCAATAACCGTATTGAAGTTATATGTATTAGTAGGTGTTTCTTTAAACATTTACTATGAAAATGTGCATAGTCTGCAAATGGCTAGCTCAAAATTGAGTATTTTATTTAATTGTGTCATTAGTTATTTGGCTTAGGCAGCGTTGTATAGTACTTTGAGGTAAGCAGTGTTTTAGTAAGGTTTCAGTAACTGGGTGGGGGGGGTGATTGTGTAGCATTATGGCTACACCTAAGTCACACAGCTGTGCATTATGGTAACAAATAGATGTCAAAAGCATGGCAGATGTTTGCTCATGCACAGATAATATGTTAGCTTGACCATCTAGACGGCAACATATCAACTCAGGTACTTTGTTAACAGTATATTAGCATGTCGTATAATTGGCTGTATAAATATGACAACATTGGGTTCATTTCACAAAGCTTGAAAGTATTATTAAACCCACAACAGTAAAATCAGTCTGTATATGCAGTAAAGCATGCTTGTTATACTCACTGTGGAACCTAAGGGGTTCATCCTCTGCATTGTGTAAAAAGGATGTCTGATGCTGTCTTCTCTGATCCTTCCCTTTTCTACTGTCTCCTGTTTTCCATCTGCTGATAGAACAGAACCTTGGGGGCAAGCTGCACATGCTCAGTTTGGTGTGTATTGCTAGAATTTTTTTTTACTTAAGAGAGTGCATGTGATCAGCACAGGGCCAATCAGCGCTGTCCAGACAGAGGGTCAGGGGTCCTGCTGCCTCATAGGACAATCAGGGGACAATCAAGATGTCTAGAGTAGCCCAGAAGAACCCACACTCAGGTGTAGACCTCCCATGTGATCCTTACATGTGATCAGCACATGGCCAATCAGCGCTGTTCAGACAGAGGGTCAGGGGTCCTGCAACCTCATAGGACAATCAGGGGACAACTGAGATGTCTAGAGTAGCCCAGAAGAACCCACCCCAGGGTAGACCTCCCATGTGACCCTTACACGTGATCAGCACAGGGCCAATCAGCGCTGTACAGACAGAGAGACAGGGGTTATGCAGCCTCATTGGACAGTCAGAGGACAATGAAAACTTCTCCTACAAGCTTTAATCAGTGCTCTGCTGGATATTGATAGAAGTCACAAGACTGCTCTAACTGCTGATGAGAAAAGGTATTTAGCAGTTTATATTTACTAAAATAATTGCATTTCCATGTTGTGTGTACTGTGGAAGACCAGATATAGTGAATGCAGGGTCCTGGGTTTAGTATTTAGCAAAAAAAAAAAAAAAAAAAAACAGTGATTAAATACCACGAAAATAAATCTCTATTTGTGTGAAAAAAGTGATACAAATTTCATATGGGTACAGTGTTGCATGACCATGCAATTATCATTCAAAGTGTGACAGCGCTGCAATCTGAAAATTGGCCTGGGCAGGGAGGGGGTGAAAGTGACTGGTATTAAAGTGGTTACAATGTGGTATTCTGTGCTCTTACTTGGTGACTGCTCCTGCAAATGGATCAACCTGATAAAACACATAGTCATTGTAATGCCACAGTCACTTCTTACGCCACTTCAACTATGGAATGGTGAGGTCACATGTTTGGAGATATAAAGGGGAAGGCAGGGAAATCCCTTGTTACTGTATTGGGAATATTTGCCTCATCCGAATGACGGGAATCTGTTGCAGGGTATTATTATTATTATACAGGATTTATATAGCGCCAACAGTTTGCTCAGTGCTTTACAATATAAGTAACTACTTTAATAGGAGACTGACGAGCAGGGGCGGACTGACCATTTGGAAACTCGGGCACTGCCCAAGGGCCCAGGGTCAGTAGGGGGCCCCATGAGATGCCCCTGGTACCTTTTTCATAGGCTTTTTTGAGTTTGGGCAAGGACACGGGGCCCCATGATCCCCTATTGCCCGGGGGCCCCATGAGTTGTCAGTCCGCCCCTGCTGACGAGTTACTATTTAGATGGACTCACACTGGATTATCATATTACTCTATGCAACAATTTTGCCCTTGCCTTTCATGTTTGTTTTCCAGTCTTTGTTGACTGCTACTCAGCATGAGCAGTTTTTTTACATTTGGTTAGTTGTTTTGTATAAGAGTTTGTGGAGGGTCTTGTCTACCACTTGCTTCTTGGTTCATTCAGTATAATCAAAAAAACAGATTACAGGTACTGTTTTGTTTTGAAATCTATATACCAGCAGGATTTTTGGGGTAACATCTCTGACAACTGGACATGAGTCTTATTATATTTTAATCTTTTTTTAGTATTCCATATATGGGTTATATATCTCAGGGAAATGTATGTCCAGTGGAATCTACCAACTTTTCGTGAGCTCTGCTTTAAAGTGGTAGTAAACAGCATTAAAAAAAAATTAAAAATGTATATATATATATATATATATATATATATATATATATATATATATTCCCTGCAAGGCAATGCTAGCACATTATGTGAAATATACCTGAAAATGAAGCCCTCCAGCGGCACCACTGTAAAGGCTTCCATCTTTACCCGGTCATCCTTCCAGGTTCACAAGCTCCGGCCATCTAACTGGCTGAGCCGCGATGATGTCACTCCCGCGCATGCGCACTGGAATCACGGGCCACGGCACAGTGCTCTGAAGGAATGGCATGGGTATGCAGTTCGTTCAGAGTGCATGCGCCAGCTAAAGAAAAAAAACAAATATCTCCTAAACGTGCACCATTTAGGAGATATTCAGTTTACCTACAGGTAAGCTTTACTATAAGCTTACCTGTAGGTAAATATTACCAAAATGGGTTTACTACCACTTGAAGTATACGGTATTCATTTTACACATCAATTATGCCTTTTTTGAAAGTCCGATAAGATACTATTATTTACATTACTGTACTGTATTTGTGAGATCATGGATCAGATGAAAAATGTTAAATTCTTAATAAAGAAATTATGACTGCTTGCCTGGATGTGGTAGAAATATTACAATTTCAAAAATAATGAGTAAACATCATCTCAAACCCTTAGGAGAGAACCGTTAACAAGAAATATGTTGTATAATCTATAAAGTATATACTATATGTTTCATTTTCATAATTTTATATTCACCTGTGTTAGTCTCACCATCTTACATTGTTTTGCTACAGGTTAACGGCTATGGTTGTGTCCTTGGAAGTCCCCTTCTTATGGCGACGATTGGCCCAATGCATAACTGAATAAAGCAGACATATCATGTAAGAAATATCCTCTATTTGTAAATATTGAATATATCTTCATATATTTTTCTCCAACTATTTATGTAAAATTTCACATCCATCTCTCTTCATCTTTGAAATGCATTGAGTAAGTTGCACTTCTGACATCACTGGAATGCCACAAAAATAGAAATATCTGGATGTACCCTTTAATGAGATTACATGTATTTGTACAGTGATGTACAAGGGTCATATGGATGGAGGCAATTCTCTATCTATAAAAACATAGGCACTTTTATTACTATTTGTGATTAAATATTGAATTTGAGGTTAATCAAAATATATTTTATGCAACATATTTGTTATGAGAATATATTGATTCAGCACCAGTAAAGTCTTTCTGTTTTTAAACTTTATTCTTTGATCTGGTAAGTTTATGGGATGTTTATATCTGTTCAATAAATGCAAAAAACATCTGTTGACCCTGCCAAAAATCTAGTGAACTGATAACTTCCTGTGCATTCTGCCTCTGTTTACCGTTATCAGATCACAGCTCTCTCAGTAGACTACAAAGTACCTCCTGTTGTTCCAGAAAATAACTGATGGAACACTAATGCAGCTACTACTTCTAAGGACTAGTAAGCTGCAATATGCAGTGCATATACACTATATTGCTGAAAGTATTGGGACATCCACTCCATTGGATTCAGGTGTTCCAATCACCTCCATGGCCATAGGTGTATAAAATCATGCACCTAGGCATGCAGACTGCTTCTACAAACATTTGTGAAAGAATAGATCGCTCTCAGGAGCTCAGTGAATTCAAGCGTGGTACCATGATAGGTTGCCACCTGTGCAATAACTCCATCTGTGAAATTAACTTGCTGCTAAATATTCCACGGTCAACTGTTAGCATTATTATAACAAATTGGAAGCAACTGGGAACAACAGCAATTCAGCCATGAAGTGGTAGGCCACATAAAATGACAGAGCGGGGTCAGCGCATGCTGAAGTGCAGCGTGTGTAGAAGACGCCAAATGTCTGCAGAGTCAATAGCTAAAGACCTCCAGACGTCATGTGGCCTTCAGATTAGCACAACAGTGCATAGAGAACTTCATGGAATGGATTTCCATGGCCAAGCAGCTGCATCCAAGCCTTACATCACCAAGTGCAATGCAAAGTGCTGGATGCAGAGGTGTAAAGCACACCATCGCTGGACTCTAGAGCAGTGGAGACATGTTCTCTGGAGTGACAAATCATGCTTCCCTGTTTGTCAATCAGATGGACTTGTCTGGGTTTGGCAATAGCAAGGAGAACGGTACTTGCCTGACTGCATTGTGTCCAGTGTAAAGTTTGGAGGAGGGGAGATTAAGTTGCGGGGTTGATTTTCAGGGGCTGGGCTTGGCCCCTTAGTTACAGTGAAAGGAACTTTTACGGCGTCAGCATAACAAGACATTTTGGACAATTTGATGCTCCCAACTTTGTGGAAACTGTTTGGGGATGGCCCCTTCCTGTTCCAACATGACTGTGCACCAGTGCATAAAGCAAGGTCCATAAAGACATGGATGAGTGAGTTTGGGATGGACAAACTTGACTGACCTACGTCCTGACCTCAACCTAATAGAACACCTTTGGGATGAATTAGAGACTGCGAACCAGGCCTTCTCGTCTGACATCAGTGCCTGACCTCACAAATGCACTTCTGGAAGAATGGTCAAACATTCCCATAGACACACTCCTAAACCTTGTGGACAGACTTCCCAGAAGAGTTGAAACTGTTATAGCTGCAAAGGGTGGGCCAACTCAATATTGAACCCTATGGACTAAGACTGGGATGCCATGTTCATGTGTGTGTAAAGACAGCGTCCCTATACTTTTGGCAATATAGTGTATGTGAATGTATTATTTATTACAGATACAAACCTGATGGATCTGTCCCTTTCTAAAGAAAATTAAAAGACTGCTTTTAATTTAGTTTTGAAGTTTCATTTCACTAAATTTTGCTCACAGTTCCTTTAAATGTCCTATTTGCATTATCGCATGCTGGCTAGCAGGAACTCTCTATACTGTAATATGTAAAAAATGGTGCTGTTATTATCATTAGGTAGTGTGTCTTTTGGATTTTTCACAAAAATAATACTGAATTGACTATAATCTTTTATTATCTTTCTTCACAGGTCACACCGTGAGATGTAGATCTCAGTCCTACATTGGCCTGAAAGAACTAACCTCTTGGCAGGAATAATTTGATTTGTCATATGTTTATTTGTAAGTATATAGATATAAGCAGATACTGTAGGTAAGTGTGTTTGCAATCAACTCTATTTAGAACATACTGTATGTTCAATGTAAGAGTAAATATCATTTATAATTAAATATCTTTCATTTTACAAATAAACACACAGTATAAAAATGAAAGCTGACATGTTTACTATTTCCAAAAAAGAGATACTGAGCTCAAAAATTTGCAAACCATTCAACACAACCTGAAGGGCTAAAAAAGGAGATGAAGTAAGAAGTAAAGGTAAGTAAAAGTGATTATGCTAAACTGAGAGGTCATTACTGAGAATACTCACTGTTGATGTGCAAATTGGCATGGTTAGCTGAAATGCGCTGATAATCTCATGGTCGAAAATGTAAATGCAGTATCCTAAGATTAGAGTATTTTCAGCAAAGTCCCTGAAGACCACAGAAAACAAGGAAATCTAATTTACAGCTCAGTGGGTTTTATCATTGGTGGCAGCTCATACATTAATTTGAACTCAAGGAATACTGTTGGAATTATCTGGGTCTGTTGTTAACAAGGGCCATAAGCTCTATCAAATGTATAAAAGCGTTTAAAGCACTGGCCCATTTCACAACAGAAACCATGATGCAGCTAGACACAGCCAAATACAGTAGGTGCCTGCTAATACCTATTCTGGATTTAGAAATGAATCCTGGAATTATGAAAAATAACAGCAGTAAGTTAGAGCTTCTTTCTTCAGACGTTTGTTGAGGTAAAGATCCTAATAAATATAAAGGATTCGTTCTGTTATTTATGCACCTCCAACTAACCTCACAAATGTAAGTAAACTATTGGTGAAGTTGAGCTGAGCATCTTTAGCATTCAGACACAATCTTATAAATATTTCCTTAAAGGGTAACTCCACTTTCGTGGGAAAAAAAGTAACTAAAAAAAACCTAATAGAGTTTATACAATTGCGATACAAGTCATATTGTAAATAAATGTTATGAAAAATTACCTTTCCTTTTCAATTTGCAGCACTGTAATTTTTTGAAAATTGCAATGCAATAGGGCAACCTGGAGGCGTTCTGTATACAGATGGTACAGATCTCCCCCTGAAAATGTAATTTCCTGCTTGAGCAGTTGGCTTAATGATTTTCCCTGAAGTCTTCACTAAGTTACAGGTCAAATTTCAAGCATCCCTTGCAACAAATATGTCATTTTGATGAGATACTCCCAACGGGCAATCCCCTCTAATGGGATGCAGACCCTGAAATTTTCCTCACTAGGTGCAGCAGCTGATTAATAAAGTTACTCCCATACAGACTCACTCTGCACAAGGATACAGACAATGGAATAGCTCTTTCTTCAGAATAACAAAAGTTAGGAATCTGCAACAGTCACCAAGAGAGGAATGCTTTTTTTCTTAACAAAAGAGGAATTATTCTTTAGTGGAACTAAACCCTCTTATCCTTTATGGCCATTGAAGCTGCCAACTTAGCCTCTATTTGATCTGCAGTTGCCATGGTGCTGCACATGACGTCAGGTATGAGCCATTTGATAACTTGACTGTTCATTTGAGAGCACAAGCAACTGTTAAAGTTACAGTCACAACATACCTTGAAACAGCTAAATTGATGGGTTTAGTTCCATTTGAGAGTGACTGTAAACCCTTACATATACCTAGTGAGGTGACTGGTCTCAGGTGATACACAGAGATTAAACAAATCCTCCTGCATACGTTGTACCTGTTTATCTGCATCCCTTTCTCTACATCCGTTCAAAGCTTGTCTGAGAGTTTAGAAAAAGGGGACGGGAAGCTGAAATGACACATTGCAGAGCAGTGAGGAGAGCTCTGAGAGCTGATTGGAGAGAAGAAACACACCCACTTCACACAGCACACAGGAACAGGGCTGAGGCTGTCAATCAGCTGGAGATCCCCCAACACCATTTTTTTCTTGGTGTCAGGAAAACTTGTTAGAAGTGACTCATGCTGATAGCAGAGGAATGAAGCAGCAGACAAAAAAGACATGTAGTGCTCTGGATTGAAACAAATACACACTATAGAGGGAAATGCTTTGTTTTTATTTCATGTCTGGGGTTTACAACCACTTTAAGCATAATAAGCCACATAAAATGTGTGAAATACCATAAAGGATTTTTCTCTTTGCTTAGTATTGACATTTTTAGTCTTCCTTTCAAAAGCATCTAATCAATTAAGGACATTATACAACTATCTAGCTTTTCTTCAGAGAACAGACTTTTCGGTTAGCAGAGCAGTGTTTTTCCTAGTTTAGACATACTGTACATGGGTATGGAATGCTGAAGAATAGGAGTAGCTAAATATTTTTGTACAAGAAGTGCATAGCAGATTTTCACTTTATATTCTTTATTTCAGTCTGCCTATTGTGATTAGTACTGCAAAGTTCATCTACATACAGTATTTCACAGAAGTGAGTACACCCCTCACATTTTTGTAAATATTTTATTATATCTTTTCATTTGACAACACTGAAGAAATGACACTTTGCTACAATGTAAAGTAGTGAGTGTACAGCTTGTATAACAGTGTAAACTTGCTGTCCCCTCAAAATAACTCAACACACAGCCATTAATGTCTAAACCGCTGGCAACAAAAGTGAGTACACCCCTAAGTGAAAATGTACAAATTGGGCCCAAAGTGTCAATATTTTGTGTGGCCACCATTATTTTCCAACACTGCCTTAACCCTCTTGGGCATGGAGTTTAACAGAGCTTCACAGGTTGCCACTGGAGTCCTCTTCCACTCCTCCATGACGACATCATGGAGCTGGTGGATGTTAGAGACCTTGCGCTCCTTCACTTTCCATTTGAGGATGCCCCACAGATGCTCAATAGGGTTTAGGTCTGAGGAGACATGCTTGGCTAATCCATCACCTTTACCCTCAGCTTCTTTAGCAAGGCAGTGGTCGTCATGGAGGTGTGTTTGGGGTTGTTATCATGTTGGAATACTGCCCTGCAGCTCAGTCTCCGAAGAGACGGGATAATGCTCTGCTTTAGTATGTCACAGTACATGTTGGTATTCATGGTTCCCTCAATGAACTGTAGCTCCCCAGTGCCAGCAGCACTCATGCAGCCCCAGACCATGACACTCCCACCACCATGCTTGACTGTAGGCAAGACACACTTGTCTTTGTACTCCTCACCTGGTTGCCACCACACACGCTTGACACCATCTGAACCAAATAAGTTTATCTTGGTGTCATCAGAGCACAGGACATGGTTCCAGTAATCCATGTTCTTAGTCTGCTTGACTTCAGAAAACTGTTTGGGGGCTTTCTTGTGCATCATCTTTAGAAGAGGCTTCCTTCTAGGATGACAGCCATGAAGACCAATGTAATGCAGTGTGCAGCATATGGTCTGAGTACTGACAGGCTGACCTCCCACCTTTTCAACCTCTACAGCACTGCTGGCAGCACTCATACGTCTATTTCCCAAAGACAACCTCTGCATATGATGCTGAGCACATGCACTCAACTTCTTTGGTCGACCATGGTGAGGCCTGCTCTGAGTGGAACTTGTCCCGTTAAACCGCTTTATGGTCTTGGCCACCATGCTTCAGCTCAGTTTCAGGGTCTTGGCAATCTTCTTATAGCTAGGCCATCTTTATGTAGAGCAACAATTCTTTTTTTTCAGATTCTCAGAGAGTTCTTTACCATGAGGTGCCATGTTGAACTTCCAGTGACCAGTATGAGAGAGAGAGAGTGATAACACCAAATTCAACACACCTGCTCCCCATTCACACCTGAGACCTTGTAACACTAACCAGTCACATGACACCGAGGAGGGAAAATGGCTAATTGGGCCCAATTTGGACATTTTCACTTAGGGATGTACTCACTTTTGTTGCCCGCGCGTTGTTGCCAGGTTTAGACATTAATGGCTGTGTGTTGAGTTATTTTGAGGGGACAGCAAATTTACACTGTTATACAAGCTGTACACTCACTACTTTACATT